ACGAGGCCCCCGGACTGGCCCTGGCCGCCCTGCGCAGCGGCCTGACTCTGCTGCTCTTTCGCGGCGCCGCGCCGGTCGCCGCCAAGCTGCAGGCGATCCTGCAGGCGGCCGGCGGCACGCTCTGGCGCAGCGCGCCCGCCGCCGTCGATCTCTGGGGCGAACCCGACCCGGCCAGCGCCGTCGCGGCGCGGCTGCGGCTCGGCCCGGCGGAGGACAAGGAGGGCGCCGGCGCTCAGCGCCGTTGAAATGGCGCGAACGCTTCGCTATTCACCTCGCGCAGGGACTGGGCTCAGGGACCGCGGCCAAGGGCGCGGGCCCTGCGAGGCGCCTGGCGCGGCTCGGTCGTCAGACAGCAGGAAAAGGGGAAGGGCAGCGCGATGCGCATCACCCAGCGGGTCAAGAAGATCCTCGCCAACTACGAGAGCGATTGTCCGGGCACCAAGGCCAACCTGGCGCGCATCCTGATGCAGGGCAAGCTGGGCGGCACCGGCAAGCTGGTCATCCTGCCGGTCGACCAGGGCTTCGAGCACGGCCCGGCCCGCAGCTTCGCCCCCAATCCGCCGGCCTACGACCCGCACTACCACTACCAGCTCGCCATTGACGCCGGTCTGTCGGCCTACGCCGCGCCGCTGGGCATGCTGGAGGCCGGCGCCGACAGCTTCGCCGGCGCCATCCCGACGATCCTTAAGCTCAACTCCTCCAACTCGCTGGCCACTGAGAAGGACCAGGCCGTCACCGGCAGCATCGACGATGCCCTGCGCCTGGGCTGCGCGGCGGTCGGCTTCACCATCTATCCGGGCTCCGACTACCAGTTCGAGATGATGGAGGAGATCCGCGAGCTGGCCGAGGAGGCCAAGGCCGTCGGCCTGGCGGTGGTCGTCTGGTCCTATCCGCGCGGCGGCGAGCTGTCGAAGGCCGGCGAGACGGCGGTCGACATCACCGCCTACGCCGCCCACATGGCCGCGCTGCTGGGCGCCCACATCATCAAGGTCAAGCCGCCGACGGAGGTGATCGAGCAGGCCGAGGCCAAGAAGATCTACGAGGCGCAGCAGATCGACGTCGCCAACCTGTCCAGCCGCATCGAGCACGTGGTGCAGTCCTGCTTCGCGGGGCGCCGGCTGGTGGTCTTCTCGGGCGGCGGCGCCAAGGGCACCGACGCGCTGCTGGACGAGATCCGGGCGATCCGCGACGGCGGCGCGACCGGCTCGATCATCGGCCGCAACACCTTCCAGCGCCCGCGCGAAGAGGCGCTGCAGCTGCTCGACACCATCATCAAGATCTATCAGGGCAAGGCCTGATCCGGAGCCAGAAGCGCCGATGCGCTGCCGCCTTTATCTGGTCACGCCGCCGGACTTCGAGTCCGGCGGCGTTTCCGTTGACGATTTCCGCCGCAAGCTGGAGGCCGCGCTGTCCGGCGGCGACGTCGCCAGCCTGCTGATCCGCGGCGACGTGAGCGACGAGACGCTCAACGCCCTGGCCGCGGCCCTGACGCCGGTGGCCCAGGCCGCCGACGTGGCGGTGCTGGTCGAGGGGCGCTGCGACGTCGCCGACGCCCACCACTGCGACGGCGTGCACCTGGAGGCGCGCCCGGCCAGCCTGCGGGCGGTGCGCCGGGCGCTCGGCCGCGACGCCATCCTGGGCGCCGACTGCGGCGACTCGCGCCACCTGGCGATGGTGGCCGGCGAGCTGGACTGCGACTACGTCAGCTTCGACGCCCAGGCGCGCGAGACCATCGCCTGGTGGGCCGAGATGATGGAGGTCCCCTGCGTCGCCTGGGGCGAGGTCGACCTGGAAGGCGCCCCCGCGCTGATCGACGCCGGGGCCGACTTCCTGGCCGTGGGCCGGGCGGTCTGGGACCATGCGGAGGGGCCGGCCGAAGCGGTGCGGGCCTTCAACGCGCTGTTCGACGCCAAGGCGGGCGAAAGCGGGACCTGACCGGCGAGACCCGCCCGGGCCCGCCCCCTCCGACCCCATACCTGCCCGGGCCCACCCTGCCCGGGCCCACCCTGCCAGAGCCCGGCGGCGCGCCCGCAGCGGCACCGACCGACCGGCGCCTTGCCTCCATTCTCGGGTATGCAGCGCACACGCCCCGCGGCGCGATTTCCCGGCTTGTCCCGCCCCCGCCCGGCGGGTAGTTTTCCTGCCCCCGGCGAGCCGCCCACGCAACAAACGAAGGCGCGCCGCCGGGTCGTCAGGTCCGACTGGGAGGGACACCCGATGAAGCCGTTGAAGGGCGCGGCTTTCGCCGCCGCCGCTTTCGCCACTGTGCTGACCTTCGCCGTGCCGGCGACCACCGTGCCGGCCAAGGCGGCCGAGACCACGCTGCGGATCACCCTGCAGCTCCCGGTGAAGAGCCACCTCGGCCAGAACCTGCTGCTGTTCAAGGAGGAGGTCGAGAGCGCCTCGGACGGCGAGATCGCGGTCGAGATCTACGACTCCGCGCAGCTCTACAAGGACAGCGAGGTGCCCCAGGCAGTGGGGTCCGGCGCGATCGAGATGGGCGTGGCCTCGCTGACCCGCTTCGTCGGCGACATCCCCGCCGTCGACATCTTCTACATGCCCTTCATGTTCAATTCCGAAGAGCTGGTGCGCGCGGCCACCGCACCGGACAGCCCGGTGCGGAGCAAGATCGACGCGGCGATTCGGGATACCGGCAGCCGGGTGCTCTGGTGGCAGGCCTACGGCGGCGCCATCATGCTCTCGCAGGACGAGCCGCTGAAGACTCCGGCCGACGTGGAGGACAAGAAGGTCCGCGTGTTCGGCAAGACGCTGGGCAGCTTCATCGAGGCGGTGGGCGGCGCGCCGACCCTGATATCCGGCTCCGAGCAGTACCTCGCCTACCAGCGCGGCACGGTCGACGTCGGCATGACCGGCGTGTCCGGCGTGAAGTCGCGTTCGCTCTGGGAGGTGATGGACTGGATCACCGTGACCAACCACGCCGACATCGAGTTCGTCGTGCTGGTCAACGAGGACTTCTGGCAGGGCCTGCCCGAGGCTCACAAGGAGGTCATCCAGGCCGCCGCCGCCACGGCCGACGCCGCCGTGCGCGAGCGCATCGCCGAGATCGAGGCCGAGGCCTATGCCGCCGCCCGCGAGAACGGCATGCAGATCTACGAGCTCTCGCCCGAGGAGGTGGAGGCCTGGCGCGCCGGCGCCCAGCCGGTGATCGACCAGTACCTGGCCGACTCCGGAGCGCTGGGTCAGGAGGTCTACGAGGCGGCGCTGGCGCTGCGCGAGTCCGCCGGCAACTGACCGCCGTCCCCGAGGGCCGGGCCGGCGGGCCGTCCCCCGCTTGGCCCCCCACCTGCCCCGCTTGCCCCCGCGCGCACCGCGCGCCGCCGGTCCACCGCAGGACCGGATCGTGTCGCCGGGCCGCGTCCGGCCGGCGCGGCCGCGCCCCGCGCCGCCCTCCCTTTCGGCAGCCAAGGTCCCCATGTTCCGCCTGCTCGACCGCCTCAACGACCTGCTGGCCCAGCTCGCCGCCTGGCTGTTCTTCGCCACCGCGGCGATGATCACCTACGAGGTGGTGGCCCGCTATCTCTTCAACGCTCCCACCATCTGGGCCGAGGAGCTGAGCCGCGTCTTCCTGGTCTGGGGCACCTTCCTGGCCATGGCGGCGCTGCTGCGCCGGCGCAGCCACATCAGCATCACCCTGGTCACCGGGCGCCTCGGCCCGGCCGGACGGCGCGGCGCCGAGCTGGTCGCGCTGACCGTGGTCGCCGCGCTCAGCGGCATCGCGCTCTGGTACGGCTGGGCGATCGCCGCCGACTCCCTGGCGCGCGGGCGCACCACGGCGACCATGCTGGACCTGCCGCAGGGGCTGCTGGAGGCGGCCGTGCCGCTGGGCTTCGCCTTGCTGCTGGCCCAGGCGCTGGTCGAGATCCTCCGCCTGCTGCGCGGCGGCCGCACGCCGGAGTCCGAAGGGCTCGGCGGCGGTGACTCGCCCGGCGGCGCCCACTGAGGCCGGGGCGAGGACACCACCATGGAAACCCTGCTCGTCCTGCTCGCGCTCTTCGGCCTGCTGCTGGCCGGCGTGCCGGTGGCCTTCGCGCTCGCCGGGCTCGGCGCGGCCATGCTGCTGCTCGGCGGCTTCTCGCCGCTGATGGTGCCGCAGGGCCTGCTGTCGACCATCGACAACTTCATCCTGCTGGCCGTGCCGCTGTTCCTGCTGATGTCCAACGTGCTGCTCAAGGGCGGCGTGGGGCGCGACCTCTTCGCCGCGGTGCAGGCCTGGGTCGGCCACTGGCCCGGCGGCCTGGCGGTGGCCACCATCGTCTCCTGCGGCATCTTCGCGGCGATCTCCGGCTCCAGCGTCGCCACGGCGGCAACCATCGGCACGGTTGCGATCCCCGAGATGCTCAAGCGCGGCTACGCCCGCCCCTTCGTGCTGGGGCTGCTGGCCGCCGGCGGCACGCTGGGCATCCTGATTCCGCCGTCGATCCCGATGATCGTGTTCGGCTTCATCACCGAGGAGTCGGTGATCCAGCTCTTCCTGGCCGGCATCGGCCCCGGCCTGCTGCTGGTCGGGCTCTTCGTCGGCTTCTCCATGCTCTACGCCAAATTCGGCGGCGGCTTCACGCCGCTGGACAAGGCGAGCTGGGCCGAGCGCAAGACGACGCTGCTGCGCGCCGCGCCGACCTTCGCGCTGGCCGCGCTGATCATCTGGGGCATCTACGCCGGCGCCTTCACCCCGACCGAGGCGGCGGCCATCGGCTTCGCCGCCAGCCTGGTGATCACCGGCCTGGTGCTGCGCACCCTGACCTGGGCACTGCTCAAGGAGGCGACCCTGGACGCCATGCGCACCACGGTCACCATCCTGCTGATCGTCGCCGGCGCCAAGGTCTTCGGCAAGGCCATCACGCTCTACCGCATCCCGCAGGACATCTCGGCGCTGATCGCCGGCAACGTCGACGAGGCGGCGCTGTTCATCCTGGTCGTCGCGCTGGTGCTGGTGCTGATGGGCCTGTTCCTGGAGGCGCTATCGATGATGCTGATCATGGTGCCGGTGCTCGCCCCCTCCCTGGCGGCGCTGGGCATCGACCCGATCTGGTTCGGCATCTTCTTCGTGATCATGGTGGAATGCGCGCTGATCACGCCGCCGGTCGGCCTCAACCTCTACGTCATCCAGGCCGTGGGCAAGGCCGGCATGGGCGAGGTGGCGCGCGGCGTCTGGCCCTTCCTGGCGTTGATGCTGCTGACCGTCGTGATCATCTTCCTGGTGCCCGACATCGCGCTCTACATTCCGTTCAGGATGTAGCGGCGACGCGGCCCCGCCCCGCCAGAGCCAGAAGGCCAGAGCCAGAAGGATCGCCAATGCCCGACGACGCCGTCGTGCCCGACGTGCCCGACGCCCCCGACGCCAGCGCCGCCCTGCCCGGAGCCAAGCTGCGCCGCCTGCTGGAGGGCGGCGGCCTGCAGGTCATGCCCTGCTGCTACGACGCGCTTTCGGCCCGCCTGGTCGAGCAGGCCGGCTTCCCCCTGACCTTCATGAGCGGCTTCGCCGTCTCGGCCGCGCGGCTGGGGGCGCCGGACACCGGCCTGATCTCCTACGCCGAGATGCTGGATCAGGGGCGCAACATCACCGCGGCGGTCTCGATCCCGGTGCTGGGCGACGCCGACACCGGCTACGGCAACGCGCTGAACGTCAAGCGCACGATCGCCGGCTACGCCCAGGCCGGCTTCGCCGCGGCGATGATCGAGGACCAGGTGGCGCCCAAGCGCTGCGGCCATACCCGCGGCAAGGAGGTGGTGCCGCGCGAACTGGCGCTCGACCGCATCCGCGCCGCCGTCGACGCCCGCGACGCGGCCCGCGCGCGCGGCCAGGACCTGCTGATCCTGGCGCGCACCGATGCCCGCCACGGCGAGGGTCTGGGCGAGGCCATCGCCCGCGCCCAGGGCTTCGCCGACCTGGGGGCCGACATCCTCTTCGTCGAGGCGCCGCGCGATGCGGCGGAGATGGAGACGGTCGCCCGGGAGGTGCCCGGCTGGAAGATGGCCAATCTGGTCGAGGGCGGCGACACGCCGCTGCTCGGCCCGCCGGAACTGGAGGCCCTGGGCTTTGCCATCGCCGCCTACCCCCTGACCCTGCTGTCGGCCGCCATGCGCGCCCAGCGCGACGCCCTGGCGGCGTTGCGCAGCGGCACCCACCCGAGCGGCCTGCTGATGGACTTCGCCGAGCTGCGCGAGCGCGTGGGCTTCGAGGACTACTACGCCGAGGAAGCATGCTACGCCGGGGCGCGGACGCGGGATTGACGCCGGTCCGCCGGGTCACCCCCGTTGCCAGCGGGGCGCGCAGCGGTTATATCGGCGGCGCCTCAAGTCCGAGCCAGTCTCTCTAGACCCAGCCGCGTCGCGGCGGCGCGCCGGCCTGCCGGCCGCTCCGCGGACCGTGCGCCGGCGGTCGCCCGATCCCGAACTCCCGAGGTCGCAACCGATGAAGATCAACGGCAACGCCATCCGCCCCGGCAACATCATCGAGCACAAGGGCCGCCTGCTGCGCGCGGTCAAGGTGCAGGCCACCAAGACCGGCAAGTCCGGCGCCTATGCCCAGGTCGAGTTGAAGGACGTGCGCGATGGCACCAAGCTGAACGAGCGCTTCCGCGCCGACGAGACGGTCGAGCGCGTGCGCCTGGACCAGCACGAGTACCAGTTCCTCTTCGCCGACGGCGACATGCTGACCTTCATGGACAACG